TTGTTTTTGTCATAAAAGATGGTGTTTTACTCCTTCAGTGACCAATGCAGCGATGTCAGACTGAAATATCTTCCAACTACAATGGAGAAAATTTATGCAAGTTCGCAAGCATCCTAACTCTCCGGTTGTATGTTTCGGAGAGTCAATGCATTTCAATTGCCCAAACTTACACCTTGTTACTTTTTTTTAACCATTTCTACTATTATACACATTTGTTACATTGTTACGTGTTATAACGAAACACAAAACAAAACCATCAGGTTAAACACGATACTAAATGTTAGGCTGGATAACTTAGTTCAAAGAATAGCAGCAGTACAGAGTGGATAGTTCTTAATTTACAGTTTAGACAGTCTGACAAATCTGAGCGTCTAGATAACAACACGCCATTCAAATAGTTTTTGACTCGCGTTACTCTCAAGGCACTTAATGAATTGTGTCCCCTTGAGATTTTCCAAACACTGTTTAAAATCAGTCAACAAATTTTCCTCCAGCATCTTGTGGTTTGATTTATAGCGGTGGTAACCCATGTTGATGCGACAGTCAAGAAGGCAGAACAACGTCTCTTCTTCCTCAGGAGGCTAGGAAAATTCAACATGTCCATAAGGACCCTCATCAACTTTGACAGATGCACCATAGAAAGCATTCTATCTGGATGCATCACAGCTTGGTATGACAACTGCTCTACCCAGGACCATAAGAAACTACAGAGAATTGTGAACACAACCCAGACCATCACCCAAGCCAAATTTCCATCCATTGATTCCATCTACACTTCTCGCTGCGTCGCAAAGGCAGCCAACATTATCAAAGAACCCTTCCAACTCGGTTATAATCTCTTTTAAGCTCTTTTGTCAAGCAGCAGGTACAAAAGCTTAAACAAAAAATGAACAGGTTAAGAACAACGTCCTACCCGCTGTTATTAGACTTCTGAATGGACCTTTCAAATTTTATATCTAATGTTAATCTTGCTTTTTGTGCACCTTCTCTGCAGCTGTAATTTTGTATTTTTCACCCTGCTCTATTACCCGATGAACACTGCATGGTATCGTCTGCCTGTACTGTTGGAAAAACAAAACTTTTCAATATACTTATGTATACAAGACAGTAATAAATTAAATCAAATTAAAATATTTGATGTCAGTTCAATTTCATTTTTATCAGATTATTTCCAATGATCCAGCAGATGAGATTGGAAACCATAACAAACAACAAATTAAGACAAAATATTTTACAAAGCAATAAATTTACAACACACAGCAGCTCTAGCTGTTCTGATGAGTGACTTTTTACATTCATCACATTTGAACACATGCCCTAACCTATATGCCCCAAGCCATATTAATTTGAAATATATAACCCTCACAATTTTTACTATGGAAATATATTTTTCTTTCTTTCTCATTGTGTTCCTGCTTTAACGTAAGAATGCTGATGTCTCAACTGCATGGGAAAGTGACTGAATCGTCGAATTCTCTCCCTGTGTTGTGGGTGCTTTGAGATTCCAGTAGTTATCATGGAAAGCTGAAAACCGTGTCAAAGAAAATGAAAACAACGTCTCAATGTTGTGCCTCCCGTGTGAAGCCACATGCACTTTGCCATTAGATATGCTAATTCTCAGCTGCGTGGTCATTGATGAGAAGCAGAAACAGGTGAATCCGTCGCAGTAGGTCACAGTGCTGAAAGGAAGCTCCTTGGTGTATCTGTGTGGATGGGTCTCGGTGGGAAAGATATCATTGAAGGTAAGGTTATCTATGTCCATCCTGATTTAGATGATATGAATAAATTCCAAACAACTAAGGACAGGCCCGTGGCCCCACAATCTTCTCGTTTGCGTGGATCTACTGGCACACCAGCAGTTTGGAGGAATGAATGAACCACTTCACCAACTGAGCAGGAGAATGATTTTGCCCTTATACGGACTCAGCAGTGCATCGCAGCTGGTGACAGAATTGCACAGATTTCCATAGATAAGAAAGAGATATATTAAATAATAACCCACAACTCACAGTGCCTTGCAGTAGTAATGGAATTTTTCCATCCTAATCTTTGGAACTAAATCACATGAGGTGGCCACGGGAATGAAATGTCAGGTCGCCATTTGTCCAGAGAAAGGCAACTGGTGGTGATTTAATCTAACATTCACCAAAGCTCTGGTGAGGGGCGAGGTTTAACTTTAATGTTAACCTCAATTGGCATTAAAATTGAACCTACACTGATCGCATGACTCGATATTACAAATCAACCATGCAGCCAACTGAGCCAACAAATGAACGTAAAAATGGGTGATAATTTTTTTTCAAAGCAACTGCTAACTCTGAGAAGGGTGTGGAGACCCCATCAGGTAAAACTCCAAATAGATACAGTCGAGCCATAATGCAGGAGACACAATGTTTGTGCATAATATATAAATAAAACTGAAAAGTGATGGACATATTTCTCCCTCAGCACCTCTTGTAAGCCATAAATAAGAGAAGTATATATGCAACATCTCATCACTTCTGACGAGGAGAGATAGGTCTGTAATGATGCACGTCAAATAATTGTCCCACATTCCGACCAGGGCAAACACACAATTTACTGAGTGGTGGCAAAGGAATCGAACAGTGTCATAACCGAACGAAAACAGCACAGGTGCAGTCAACCAGGTGACAGGAGCAAAGAGAGTTGTGGTAACTCGCTTTTGAAGGAATGAGGATATTTAATTGTTCTCAAATTTGGGCTGTTAACATCATTGTGGAGTCATCAACGACACTGTAGATGCTGATTTCTCTGAAAGACGTCTGCAAGTATCTGGCACAGCTAAAACTGACTGCATTCGTCACTGGCCAATGAGGGCCTCCGCCTAGATCTTGAGTGCATCCAGGGATCTGGTTCTGTCGATGAGAGCAATGTATTTGATGTAGCCTACTTGGGCTTCAGCAAGGTTTTGATATGAGCCCGCATGAGAGACTCACAATAAAAGTGAGAGGCCATGGGATACAATGAAATTTGGCAAATTGCATCAATTAACTGAATGAAAGGAAGCAGTTACTGTTCTTTTTTGACTCGAGGTTTGTATCCAGCGGAGTCCAAAACAGATCAGTGTTATGGACCTTGTTGTTTCTCGTTTATATAGATGAATTACTTCTGAATGTCTGCAGGTTGACCAGTTAGTTCCAGTTGGTAAATAGTGGGTGGTATTGTATGTGGAAAATAGTGCCCCAGATAGCTTTCGATTACAGAAGACTATAGACAGCTGGTCAAATGGACTGATCAGTGGGAAATGGAGTTCAATCCGGATAAATGTGAGGTAATGTACTTGAGCCGGACAAACAAAGCAAGGGAATGTATGATGAACGGTAGAATCCTGGGAAGCACCGAGGATCAGAGGGATCTTGAGTGCTTGAACACCAGACTCTTACGGCATCAGGGCAGGTGAATTAAGTGGTTAAGAAGGCATAAAGTACACTTGTCTTTATTAGATTAAGCAAAGGAGTTACAGTCAGAAGTCACACAACACAGGTTATAGTCTAACAGGTTTATTTGAAGACACAAGCTTTCTGAGCCTCAATCCTTCTTCAGGTGTTAGTGAGAGATTAGTATCAGACACAGAATTTATAAATAAAGTATCAAAGGGTCACACCACTGATCAGTTACGAGTGGTGTACCACAAGGATCTGTTCTGGGTCCTCTTCTATTTGTGATTTTTGGAAATGATTTGGATGTAGAAGTGCAAGGGTGGATTAGTAAGTTCGCAGACAATACAAAGGTGGGTTGAGTTGTGGATAGTGCAGAGGGCAGTTCTAAATTACAGAGGAACATTGATAGGATGCAAAGCTGGGCTGAGAAGTGGCAGATGGAGTTTGAAAAGTGTGAGGTGATTCATTTTGGAAGGACAAACTTGAAAGCAGAATTCAGGGTTAACAGAAAGATTCTTGGCAGTATGGAGGAGCAGAGGGACCTCGGGGTTCATGTCCACAGTTCCCTGAAAGCTGTCACCCAGGTGGATAGAGTTGTTAAGAAGGCGTATGGTGTGTTAGCTTTCCTTAATAGAGAGATTGAGTTCAAGAGCCTTGAAGTTATGCTCCAGCTATACAAAAGCCTGATTCGGCCACATCTGGAGTATTGTGTCCAGTTCTGGTCATCTCATTACAGGAAAGATGTGGAAGCGTTGGAAAAGGTGCAAAGGAGATTTACCAGGATGTTGCCTGGAATGGAGGGAAGTACTTACGAGGAAAGGTTGAGAGAGCTCGGGCTTTTCTCTTGAGAACGATGAAGGATGAGAGGTGACTTGATAGAGGTGTACAAAATGATCAGAGGTATAGATAGAGTGGACAGCCAGAGACTTTTTCCTAGGGTGGAGGCAGCCGTCACGGGGAGCATAGTTTTAAAGTGAATGGAGGTAGATATGGGGGAGGCGTCAGAGGTAGGTTCTTTGCTCAGAGAGTAGTCGGGGCGTGGAATGCATTGTCGGGGAGGGTAGTGGAGTCGGCCTCATTCGGGGCATTTAAGTGGCTATTAGATAGGCATATGGATGATAGTATAAGGTAGGGGTGGAGGTTAGATAGACCTTTGGATTAGGGTAAAAGTTCGGCACAACATCGTGGGCCGAAGGGCCTGTACTGTGCTGTAGTGATCTATGCTCTATGTTCTATGTCATTGGTACTGATGTGTACCATGACTGCTGGTTGCTCACCCTCTCCCTTAAGGATCATGAAGACACAATCCGAGATGTCACGGACCCTGGGACCAAGGAGGCAACACACCATCCGTTCGTCTCGTTCACGTTCACAGAACCACCTGTCTGTGCCTCTAACTGTTGAATCCCCAACTACAATTGCTCTCTTATTCTTTCCCCTTCCCTTCTGACTCACAGAGCCAGACCCTGTAC